ATTCTCTTTTTTTTTATTTAAATAATCTAAATAATTGCATTTTAAGAATGCTCGCGAATATTTCTATATAAAAATATTAATAACTAAAAATATTTTATCAAATAAAAAATATTTTAAGTATTTAAAAAAATATAATTTAGGAAATTTTTTTATATGCAGTTTATATACAATGATGTAAATGATGGATCATCCTCGCGGAGATAACCGAGCGAATTATTACATAGGTAACAAATTAATTAATTAAATAAATAATAAATTATAAATCACTCGCCTCTACAATTGCTCTGTTATCAATCTGGGATTTCTCTTTCTCTCTCATTTTCTTCATCCTTTGTTATTCTTAACACTCACTCGCGAAAACACGCGCGTAAACTTTGCACAGCACTGTCGTGTCGTCAACATGAATCGCACGTGAGTTTATATTGTATGTACTTTATTACATTTTGATGAGAGAACATCGCAAAAACGCATCACGAAAGTACGATCCACTCGACTATTATTCGACAATCACGCGATCAAATTCACGTATCACTTGCTGTAATACTACCTCCATTGTTAACAAATATGCTCGTATTTTAGGATAATTTTACTATCGCATGTTATAAACAGACAAAAAATTCACAATGCGAGGCAAAAAATATATTTGACTCCAAATATATTTATAGAAGTAATATCGCCTGCGAATATTACGATAAAACTATTCACGATCTCATATCGTTCCGATTCCTATTGGAAATATATATTGACTGCGCGAAATAAAAATTGTTTTGACATATATATATAGAGCCGTCGCTACGATATGTTTAGTCGTTAACAGCAAAAGTTAATTATCGCACGAGTTGATAACCTACTCGTAATGAATATTAATCGCAATGTATTTCGAGAGATAAGAATATAAGAATACATACTAATCACGACTATATTTCGAGATACGACACACACGGAGCACATTACGCCGCTGCCTTCTCCCTCGATCCTCGCCGTGCGAATGATAACAAGGTCACAGCCTTGTAATATATACTCTATGATAGCACATAATACGTCGCTCAAAACAAAGGTCGCGCGCACACAGTTAGTGTTGTTGTTACGAAATATTTAACGCAATACGAAATAAATTCATGCGGCAAATTCTATTCCTTAAATTTCTCAAAATTAATTATATCAGTGCAGTATCAATGTATTATCAGTGTGATATCAGTGCGATGTGAATGCAATATTAGTGTGTGTGGTTCGCATCTGTTTAAATATATTCTTAAAAATTTATGGTAGTCTTTCTTGCGTTTCATGCAAAATCAGTTGTTAAAAATTTTATTTTGCTTACATCAAGAAGCGAAAATTTATTTAGGTGAGTATATATTTATACGAGTATGTATATTTTCAATTATTTTTTTTATTTTTAATTTTTGTATAAAGAATTTAATTTTGTATAAATGAATTATGTAGAGATTATTAAAAATGTAGCACAAAACAATGAATATCTTTATGCTACATGTACATGCCAGGTTTGGGTAGTAATTAGTTAAAAAGTTAAAAGTAAAATTAAAAAGTTAAAAAGTTAATAACTTTTAACTTAACTTAGTTAATTTTAAATGCATTAACGTTAATTTATTAACTTTTTTTATACAAGTTAAAGTTTTGTATGTTTAGTGATCGAAAATTATCGGTTTACTAATAATTATAATAACATAAGACAGTATCTAGAGTACCATTAAAACGTGCGTTCATAAAATACAACATAATGGTATTATTCTCGGCACATATAGAGCGTATGTTTAATGCAAGTGATTTAATATATGATGACTTAAAAGAAAAAATGACGGATCATAATTTTGAGATGACACTTTTATTAAAATTCAATAAATATTTTTAAATTCTTTTAATTTATTGTTAGAGTATCTAACAATTCAAGATAAAGATAAAACACACGTGTGCAGGTAGAGCAGTTCAACAGGAAACAGGAAAGTCCTCTTAATTAAAGCCCCTATTAACCGTTTTGTTTTTAAACACTATAACATCTTTATTACACAACTATAGTATTTAAATAATGTGTATTATTAATTATTATATAAGAAAAAATACATCATCTCTCTTATAAAAGACCTTTTTATTATATTATCTAAATTTAAAAAGTTTAATTTAAAATGTACAATTAAAAAATTAATTATGTAAAAAACATATAGTTTTGCATAATCAATTTTTAACTTATTAATAATTTTTTAACTTAGCTTTAACTGAGTTAATTTTTGTTTAAGTAACTTTTAACGTAAGTTAATTTAATTAATTTTTGGGCCATTAACCCTAAACTTAACTTAGTTAAAAAAAAATTAATTTACCCAACTCTAGTATATGTACACGGTTGTCTTTGGAATTAGCGCAATGAGAGCATTATTCTTATTTGATCTCTGGATTTATTTTAATTTTTCAAATCTAATGAGTTTTTAATTTATTTTGAAATTGCACTTGCCTAGCGTGAGTTTATATTTATCCTGAAATTTATATACTCTTTTAAGAACGATGAGGCACGTGGTCCGACGACGGACCTCAGGATTTGACGCTCGAAGAGCGCGTAGATAAGGCACTTAGATTTAGGTGACACGCGCTACGAAAATACACGGTGAAAGAGAGTGGCCGGGACGACAAGACAGAATTAGAAGCGGAGAAAGAGAGAGGCGCGACGTCCGACCGTTTGTTTTACGGCTTCGCCCGTTTCCACGACATCGAGCGCAATTTTTCTCTCTTGGCGCATCCTCCTCCTTTTTCTCGTATCCATTCTCCTTCTCCTTCCCCAGCCTCGCCCGATCGAGACTCCTTTATTCCGGAGAGAGCTCGCATGCTGCCGACCCCGGTAGCGGAAAATTAATGACTGCCTTGACGTAATTGCTCGTGATACCGTGATAATATTCTTGAATCTTGAGATTTATTCGTGAAACATAGATATAAAGTACAGAATGCATGATTTTCTGTAATAATATTAAAAATTACAGCATATTTCGAGAAATATTATATTTTCGTATTTCTTTATTTAATTTTTCAACTATTATGAAGATTAAAATAGTAGACTCTGTTATTTTTTATGTTCAACTAGTTATTTTATATATCAAAACTCACATTTCTACAAAACACAAATTATTTATATTTTAAAGAAAACATCATCGATACAATTTGGGGCATCCTATTATTGTATATTTAAACACCCTTAAAAGGGGGACAGACAAAGATATTGTTAGTGTTCCATTTGCGACGCGCGTCCGCAAATTCGTCAACAGGCACTCCGTTTAAAAATAAGACGTAAGAACTCACCATCCCTCTGCCGAGGACCGAAGACGCACTGGCTTATTGGCGTTTCTGCTCATTAGGATAACCCAGGGGGTTCTCCGACGCGATAACTCATTCAGCTCTGAGAAAAAGTAAATAGAGCGAGAAACGGAGAGAAGCGCGCACGCCGGTCGGGAATTCTGCGAGCAACCGAGATTATCGAGGAAACATTTTATTTTTGCTTGTTAATTTCACGTCTCGCTTCCGTCGCTCATTTATTTCCCGCCCTTTTCATAATCTACATGTCCCTTTTTTGGTCTTGACTCACTCGAATTCAGAACATTTTCGAAAATGATCTTTTCTAAAGATTCAGTGCGCACGAAATATGTCCAAGTTCGTATATAATGTTCCTCATAAAAATTTCTCGAATATATTCGCCTCATGTTATTATCAAGAATGATGATAATTTTGCAATATTTAATATACACTTTACAAAAATTTAATATAAAAATTCCAAATTTTACAAGAACAAATGAAATAACAAAACTTTTGTAATTTCTGTCATTGTTAATAATGTTGTATATTATTTTGTCAATTTAATATCATCATTAACGTTAACTTATGCTCATTTTTTTTGTGCCATACAATTACTTATCTGTATTTTCAATTTAATAATAAGAATTTTAAATTAGAACTACTAGGAGTGATACTATCTATTTTTAGGAAAGCATACACACACTCATTGAAAGTATAGAAATTTTTCTTAGATAAAATGTTTTGACAAGTAAAAATGTATATATGACGTGCGTCACACATACATTACATACAGAGAAATTAGAAAGATCATTATTTATGCTGCATAATTAATTAAAGAATTTGTAGTCATTTTTTTTTTACATACAAGAAAATCAGTATGGAATCAAGAAACTTGATATAATTGCAATGTAAAAAAATATATATGGTAGAATTTTAATTTTATTTCTACATTAAATATATCCTAGAAAGGTCTCTCTATCTTTTGAAATATTTTTGCAACATGTAAACAGAGCCGGATTATTATTGACAACCGATTACATCTACAACTAGGTTTACTTCTATGTCACAAATCGATATGAGAGAATCAGTACCAACATAGGATTGCTTATTCTCTTGTATATATAAATAGTGAACTCTTATGAATATTCCGTTGTGACAAGAAATTAATATTTGTTAGATTATAAAAAATAAATATTCTTTAAAATTAAAAATAAGACAACAAATGCTAACATTTTATCATTAGTATAGCATACTATATCCTAAAGATCATTATCTCATGTAGAATATGTCTATAACGTAGAGATCTGTAAACTTTGTTAGATGGTATTCTCTTAAACGTTGCCAAACACATTAAATTTTTCTTTAGGATTAATAGTGTAATAAACTTTGTACAATTATTAGAATTTATAATAAATATTTAAAAGGGCTGAAAAGATTTACTAATTTTTTGTTTTCTAATTAATAGAATTATTAATAGCTTTATGCAAAAGAAAATATGCTTCTAGCAGAATTTATTGATAGAATAGAAAAGTCAATACTGCAAGATTTTTAAAAATATAGATATTATAACAGAATTGTGGATACAGTAAATTAAAAGACAAATATCTGACCGATTAATAAAATAATTTACTTCTTATTTTTCTCATCTTTTCATTTTGACATGAGGAAATCATCTCTGAGGAAACTGTCGGTAGAGCAGAAAAATCAATAGCCTGCAACGTTGCCGCGTTGAACATGTCAAAGGTCGAGTGTCGGAGTTTTCACGAGAAAGCGATTTTCGTCGCGGAGGGTGAAAAAAAAGTAAAGGGGAAATTCAAGGAAGTCTGATCACACGTGGGTCATGACTACGTCGCACATCGCGAGTACGTAGCTCGAGTGTTGTGAGGCTCTTTGCGGTTCGTTCTGTGTGTTCAATGTTGCGTGAGACGAGTGTTGTCTGGAAGACGTATTGTTGTGATGTCACGCATGTTCTTCAGGGAACGTGTGTCTTACGTGTAAATTTTTTTTTTTTTACATTTATATCGATCACAACAAACAAATTGGTCGATGGAGAAGTAATTAAATTGTTACATCCCACACATACAATCAAGATCTTCGAAAAAATTTTGAAATCTAAGAAGAGGAAAAGACAATCTAAAAATTCAACAATCTTGAAAATAAAAAATGTTAAAATTTAAGCTAAATCAAGGTTCTCACACTCAAGGATTTAAAAATTATCAAGGATGTATAAAAATCTAAAAATACAGACTGTAATTATATATCCAACAATCTTAGGAACGTTCAAAGAGTTAAAAAAAGAAATTTAAAATAATAATAATTTTAAAATAAGCGAGCTCTCTCTTTCAAGAACATGCAGGTCTATCTAAAAGCATTGATACCTTTTCTTATCGATTTCTTCGATAAGTTAAATTAATCTGAGATTTTAAATCCAGTTACATACTGTAGCTATTTTTATAGATTGATCTGTAAGATATTCGGTAATGCTTTCGATTGAAATTGCTAGACATTTTCTGATTTTCAGGATATCAGAATGAGTCTCTGCCCACGGAGACGCTTTCGCATCACTCCTATGCGAGCTCTAGCAGCGTTCTTTTTAATGGTCGTGCTCTTCTGGTATAGCCTCAGTCGGCAAGAGATTCCACAGCAGCCGTGTAGCGTGCCCGAAGAATTTACCGAGAAATTACATGATCTCGCTTACAGGTCCGTATTTATAATACTCGAAGAGAGAAGACCTGAAAAAATTAAACCACAAGAAATACACTAAATGTCTGGGAAACTCATGCTCTTTGTTTCAATCATAAATACTAGATTAAACTGCAACAATACATATATTTAATAAAATTTTACTCTCAATTAATTTTGTATTAAATTTACATTAAAAGATATATATTTCTAATCTCCATGTAATATATAATAGGCTTACAATTATTAATGTAATATCAAACAATAAAATATTAATATTAAAAATCTTAGAAAAGAAAATTTTATAATTCTAAAATATTAAAATTAAAAAATTTGTTTGAATATATGCAAATATGGCTTTACGTAATTTTAACAGGGCTCATTTGGTTCTCTCTAAGTTGGGCATCGTTCACTTTCTCTGTCTGGGCGGCCTTTGGGGTCAAGTTCGTATAGGCCGTGCATTGCCGTGGGCTCGCAAAGTGGAGCTATGCTTGGTGGACACTCTCCGCGACGATGTCTTGATCACGAAGGCCTTTCGAGAGGACGGTCTGAGTGCAACCTATCTTCATGCGGCGGGAATTTACAGGATACAGGAGCACGAGGTCGGCGAGAATGCACCCAAAGTGGAAGTGGTTGTTTTCGAGGAAGACGCAGTGGTAAGAAGCGTTTTCTCCGCACGAAAAAAAGATTTTTATATTTAAAATAAATTTTATATTAATAAAAATTATATATACATTAAATTGGGATTTAAATATGAACGACTCAATGTTTTAAAGATGCAAAAAGATACGTTCTTAGATAAAATTAAAGATTAGAATCAAATATGCATACAATTTGTTTAGTTAATATTCGCTTCACATTTAGATCATTCATTGTTATTTTATTGTTTTGTTATTGGCACTTTATTGTTTGGCTAATATCCGTTTCATATTTAGATCCATTTTATTGTCACTTTAATTGCGGGCTGTAATTTTAACGACTCTTTCTTGCTTTTATGTCAAGAGCAGTATTTGTATTTATTGTTAGTAAAGTTGCGCTTTATGTATCTGGCACGCGAATGCCAATTCGATACTTTGTGCGCTTTCTATTGCCTTTACATTTCTATGGAAGATCTAAGAACACTGAAATATCCGCGAATTTTATGCACTTTATATATTTCATATTTAAGACAAACAAAGATAGCTTTTGGCAATGCATTTATCTATAAACCGGCGATAGACATTTTATTGCTCCTTATTTGTAAGATTTACGACCCAGATTTCCTGACAAACCATTAACTTGCCAAATTCATCTTAATTTTAGATTTACAAAGCTCATAAGTTCAGTCTTACTAAACCAAATATCTTTTAAAGATTTTAGTTTAGGGGGTAAAATATTTTTAAAAGATTATCCAAAAGAAGAGAAAAAGAGATATCTATCGTAGATAGCGTTGTTATAACACTTCCGGAAAGATTTAGTCATTTATATGACACTTGCAGACACAGATGGTGAGGAGAGTCGGCTGGACCAGAAGGGTCCTGCCTCCGGATTGCGAGTTTTCGCCGAGTCTACAGTGCTTTCCACCGCAATTAGTAATACCGCCCTTACCGGCGAAACAATTTGGCAGCCGACTGATGCCGGTGCCACGAGAAGGCATAGAATTACAAAAGTATCATTATCCCAACGACTGGTGGCTAGAGATCAAGCCCACTGATTGTACTGAGCCCCAACAGACGAATGTATAATGTACAATTCTTGGGAGAAATTAATCCTAGTGTAATTAGAACATTGTTTTCGTTAAATCATAACATTTCCTATGATTTAATCAGTCTGAATAGAATTTAAGTATTATTGTTTAAATTGTTTTTTGAACACAGTATCGAAATAGAAATAGCTTAAACTATAGAAAGAAAACAGGTTGGCAAATTTTATTATAATCTAGATATTTTCTAGAAATAGATGCGACAAGTAGAAGAGATTGCATGTGATAAGGATGATAGGGATATGAATATTTTCCAATTGTTTATATATTTAATTTAAGTTGAAAAAAGGAGAGAGAGTAAGTGCGTTTGATCTACGATCTCAATGTGGCGACGCGATTACTGCTTATAGAAAGTATTCAAGTGTGTCGTTGAAATAAAATCTACTAATAATATTATTGGCAATGACTGACTGCTATAATCATTGTAGTGATTATATTATTAAAACTATGAGCAGAGTGTCAATTAGAACTAAGTCATATTTTCTAACCGTTTTTTATTCCGGACGTTTTTCTATCATTGCCATTTTCACCATTTCCATTTTTATACATTGTATTTTTTCAGATATATTTTTATCCATAATTAAATAAGAATTTTTATAAGCTGAAAATCTATATTTACAACATATAATTAATTAAGATTTTTTACATATCTTTGCAATTGTTTCGAAAATTTTTTAATTTTTTATAAGCTAGAAATTTTTAAATATGTATTTACTACCAGAAGTGCTGAGAAGATTTAAATACATGTGAATTATAATATTCGTGCATTCCTTGAAGCGTAAAGTATTATATTTAATCGTGAAGTTAAAGCGAAAGTAGATACTCTGTATGATAAGAAGAAAGCAAACCTTAGTTAAAATATATAGTTAACTTTAATATACTTAATTATATACTTATTTACATATTTCTCCACAATGCTTTTTATAAGTTAGATGCAACAACGCATCTTCTAAAAATGTACTTTGTTTAAGCGATTAATTATAGATAACTGTTATTTAAATAGGCAATCTTGTCACAATTTATTATAAGCTTTAATTACAATCGTAATTATTATTTGGCGTAAAATAGCGAGAACAATAATACGCAGTAATGAAATGTATGAGTTACACTTCTACGATATGAACTGAGCTCACGAATCTGTGCTAATTACGAGTGTAATTATAACAATACATCCCCTGTAATGTTATAGTTACATCCCGAAATCTTCCAAGAGTTGAATAAAAATCCGTACAAGATATTAACGTATCCTTGAATTTAATTCATAATGATTATATACGGCGCAAAATATTCTCTTCTATAATTAGAAAAAGAAAGTACTCAAGAAAACTCAAACACAGAATCTCGATGACTAGACTGACGAAATAGACAGCAGAGCAATAACTTTATTAACAACAATGAGTACTCTTTCTAAAGAAATCTTCGAAAGTAAACACGTATACATGTACCACATATTTGAAAGTATCTCGAAAGTGCTTTTATAGACGTCTTCATTCACTTTTCTCTCTGCTGGTTTCATGGCTCATCAGCTGTAACTATTTCTCGACGTCTCTCTTACACTATCACTTTCCTAAAAGAGTGTAACGTTTTAACAAAATAATACATTCTATAAATATATAAAAATGTATTTTAAACTTTGATTTATACATATATTGACGAAAAATATACAGAATTTTGCAATTTTAAAAAGCTTTTTATAATATTTTATAATTAATTAATATTTTATAATTAATTA